TCGTTAGGTATGATTTGCCAGAAATCTTTCCGGCCGCTGCGTGTGATCCCAAACAAAAGACGATCGAATTCTACTTTTGCCTAAAGACACTTCATCCCTTGCGAGACAGCGGGAACTGGAAAGTCTTTAACAGCGTTGCAGATGGCATCATAAAGGGAAACCAAGGCGACCTAGCCATCGAACTTTTAATGGCGATCGAAAAGAGCGTAGTAGTTAGTTATCAGAACGATTTGGAGAAAGCGGAAGCGATGGTTCTAGAAGCTTTGGAAACGCTGGAGCAAACGAAAGTGGAAATGAGCAACTTCCTTGTGACCATGGCCCACTTGCATTTGACTGGCTTCTACAGGCGCCAGGACAAGTACGAAAAGGCGGAAGAAGTTATAGCGATCGCCGAACAGAGTTCTCATAATGGAAACTCTCGTTTTGTCAAGGCTTTAATTTTCTATGAAATGGCAAGTAACCTGACAAAATATGTCTCTTCCATTCCGCTTGACCCGTCAGCACGTGAGGAATACGTGGAACAAGCGAAGAACTATATGAAACAGTGCATAGACCTCTGCATTGAACTCGATGATGGCAGTGTTTACATTAAGAAACACCTCTTTGGTCTAGTTAAGCTCGCTTTGCTGGACCTGAACTGCCGCACAAAAGTAGCCCGGTCCCAGATCACATGCACAAGGTCTGTTGAAGAGGCAAAGAATTGTCTTGAAACGATTAAAGAAAAATATGAAGATGAGATGAAGGAGGGCCTGAAAATACAGTTCTTGGTGGCTCAGTGTGACCTAAATTATAGGCAGAACGATTTGCAGGCAGCCTTGGAACATGCCCACAGGGCTTTGGATCTTGCTAAAGATCATGGATTTAGCTTGGAAATCACTGCCATCAGGGAAAGAGAAGATGAGATTTCCAAACTGATTGCAACAACAGAAACCATGGATATGGATTTCCCCCACTCAGATGACCATATGGATATGGATATGGATATCCCCCACTCAGATGAGCATATGGAGTCTCTGTCGAGCAATACTGCACCATCTCTGAGAAACTCTCCTTACTCTTCAGGCTGTGAGATGGAGTAACATTTTAATTTTAAATATCTATTCCTGTGCAAACATGAGAATTATCTTTACAAATCATCAGGTATTTCCCAAAAGTAATTTTTAGGGGAGTAAAATATTTCAACACATATCTTGGGTAATCAGTACATGTATGTTTACTTTTGTGATCTGCATATAGGTGATACATGTACTTCCAAAATGACATCTAATAATTATTAATCATATCAGTGACAATATATATGGTTGAGAACTACAAATTATTCTTACACTGTTTATCACTATTTAATGGTAACCATAGAAAGTAACCAAAAATTCCAACTTGTTTTAGCTTTCTTTTGCTTTATTTTTTACAGCTAGTCCACCTATGACTCTGTCAATTTGAAAGGTGACTACCGTAAATGTAAAATTAGTACCCAGCTCCATGTGATTCCCTCTCTGAATTAGTTTTTAAAATTTTAAAAAAAAAGCACTCCCACCCCTCCTAAAAAGCATCCTGAGTGCCAATGCAATTCTCTTACTGGCTGCCCACCATCCTCCTTTATCTTCTTACACATGGAAGACAAAGATGAATATGCAGGGTGATGAGATAGCTTCGGATGGGTCAGATCTTAGAAAAGGGATGAGTATCTGCAGTCTTTACTTACAGTTAATCCATTCAATAATGA